TCGACCCGCTTGGAGATGAACCTCGAGGGGAAATTAGAATATGGTTGACCAACCATTTTACAAACGTGGTGTCCAACTGGAAACAATGCCAGGCTTTCGGAACACGGACTTGTGGTGCCTTCTGTATGATCTTTTTGTATAAGATGTGCCTTGGGATGCCTTTCTATGACGTTTTGCGGTTTCTTCACAGCATCGATGATTTATTTGTGGTTTTCCTTATGAAATCTCAATTTAACTTTGCTCTACCCTTGGCCTATGCCGGGGAGAATGTATATAAGGAGGAGTAGCTCAACGATTCGGTCTCATTCTGTCTAGTTTTACGATTTGATGAATTCTCTGCCAGCTCCGCGTCCTGATTATCGTTGCTTTAACTGTGACAAAGAGTTTTCTACAAACTCCAATCTCGTCCGTCACATCAAGCTAAACTGTCATAGCTCTCCAGGAGTAGAAGGCAGGTTGACGATTGACGAGCATGATGACCGCAGAGTCAATACATTGCGTCCCCTCAGCGTCGAAACCCCGAAAAACGATAATCATGATACGAACGGAGCCAAGAAAATCTTTGAAATATCTTTTTATTACGACGCTACTAGTAACAGTGTTAAATCTCATGTTAACGCCTGTAATTCGTGACCGAGTCGTTGAGCATCTTCTTTTTTTCTTTGTTGTCTAGGTAGTCACCGCATCGTTGTAAAACTTCTGTGCGAATAAATATTATAAATTAAACCGTTGCAACACACCTCAAATGAGTATGCACAGTATGGAGACACAGGGTTTGAAACCATACAGAGAGGTAAGACATGTCCTTTTTTCACTAGTTCTGGTGAAACGTATTTTGTAAAAGCTGACAAAAAACCCTTTTTTGCTAAATGTTTTAAAGTAGTAAAATAAAGTTTTCGAGGGCCTTAAAATAAATCCGTATAGTATAGTAGTGTCGGCGTCGCGACGATATCTTTCCCGGCTCGAGACGCGTCGCGTACTCGCGTGACGTGTGCGTCGCGTCATCGTAGCGGCTTAACAATCGTTTTTTCAGTTTTCTTCAACGTATTTGCGGTGGCAATCTGCCTGATCTTGGCTACGGTGCAGGCGCTGCGCATCCGACCTGGAAAATGCGCCCTCTACGACACAAAAATTGCTGGTAGGAGCAGTCGCTTTCAATTGAAATGTTAATAAAACGAATTTCAGGGCGCCACGTGTTCAATCATGAGGAATTATAGCTAATTAAGAAAATAAAAAAATGACAATTCAAAATAAATAATTTTCAGGGCGTCACGTGTCGATTCGGCGGAAATGGCGAAAGGAGTTTGGGCTTCCGGACGGCGTCGAAAGCGACCCGGATGAGACTTTTGAGCTGACCGCCTTGTAATCTGAATTTAACGAATAAATTATAGCCGGTAAAACAGGTTTAATGCATCAATCTCCGAAAAATTACCACAAATTACAAGAAAAGATACCTATAACCAAGGCAGCAGAACAGACGAGATACTAAGAACTTCAGGAACAAAGCAGACTACAGGGTGTCCCAATAAAAAAGGTCACGCTGGCATTTTCTCATTTCAAATCCGATCGACATGAAATTTGGAACAGAGCTGCGGAAGGGAATTTAAAATGTTCACAGAAACTTTCAGCCCGATCGGTACAGTAGTTTTCGAGTTATAACAAAAATACTGCTGTATCAACACTTTTGCTTCCATTTTTCGGCTATCTTTTTGGACTTTGCATCAATTACCATCAATTTCGACCCCAAATCCCTCATTCTTCTTAACATCGGGGACGATAACACCTTGTTAAAATGACTTAAACAACCTATTTCTAAGACGAATTTTTCGAAATAAAAAATTTTCTGGGGTAAAAAGGGTCGGCGCTTCATTTTTGCCATACATTCCAAGTCTCAATTCCGGCGAAATCCAGGTTAAAAACGTAAAATAAAGTTTATTTTTGCTATAACTCGAAAACTACTGTACCGATCGGGCTGAAAGTTTCTGTGAACATTTTAAATTCCCTTCCGCAGCTCTGTTCAAAATTTCAGAACGAACAGATTTGAAATGGCGAAATGCCAGCGTGACCTTTTTTATTGGGACACCCTGTACATACTACAAACCAGACATGGCAAATTGGCCGGCCGATCAGGTTCTTCGGCCGAAAAAATTAGAATGCGGCCGCGGCTTTGGCAAAATCGGCCGCCGAAGTATCGGCCGGCCGCGCGGCCCGGAAACAGCCGAAAAGCCGCAACCAAAAAAGATTTTTGGATGCTAATGAAGGCTTTACTTGGCCAAAAAAAGCTTAGACAGCAGAAATCAGTTAGATATAATGGTTTTGCAACGGCTTAGGGTTAGATATGATTACAACGGATTTGAATCCCGATCCCGATGGGCCAAAATGCCAAGATTTTCGACGCTAGTTTGCTAACACTTCTTTTTTGACAGCTATTTTGTCCGTCGGCATTATGATTGTCGGGATTTTGGCTGGAATTCGGCAAAAGTCATAGTGACTTGTTGAAGACGTCGTACTTGAAACTTAAGCTCAAGCCGAAGCCTGAGCCGAGCCTATGTCGAAACTACCACATGCACAACTTCAAAAACTGAAACCTCAAAAAACTGCGATTTCAGAGACGCTAGGAGTATCAAGAGGTACGCGACAGTACTCCTGTCGAGAGCGTATCGAAATGGAATTTGAAGGTCGATGACAAGGAGGGGGGGAATGGCCTTTCGAGGAGGGGGAGGCGAGGGGTTCTCCAGCCTGTTCACCCCCCTTTCTATTCTCCCTAAATATGCAAATGGCACCACCTTTTATGGGTACAATAGAAGAGAGACAGAGAGAGAGAGAGAGAGAGAGAGAGAGAGAGAGGGCAGAATCTCTTCCTTTCTATTGAACCATCTGTTTCACCAAAAACTCTTCGGCAAAAAGGTGACAAAAAGGTGGCTTCCGCAGGGCATTGGATAATACTGTATTTTTAAATTGCAGTTTAATTCTAATGTTTTATTGCAAAAGTCTGTGTTCTCCAAGTCTCTCTCTCTCTCTCTCTCTCTCTCTCTCTCTCTCTCTCTCTCTCTCTCTCGCTCTCCCTCTTTCTCTGGCTCGCTCTCTCGCTCTCTCTTTCCCTCTCTCAATCTCCCGCTCTCTCTCTAGCTCTCTCTCTCGCTCTCTCGCTAGCTCGCTATCTCTCTCTCTCTGGCTCGCTCTTTCGCTCTCTCTCGTTCTCTCTCTTACTCTCCCTCGCTCTCTCTCACTCTCTCTGGCCCGCTCTCTCGCTCTCTCTCTCTCTGGCCCGCTCTCTCGCTCTCTCTCTTACTCTCCCTCGCTCTCTCTCACTCTCTCTCGCTCTCTCTGGCCCGCTCTCTCGCTCTCTCTCTCTCTCTCTCTCTGGCCCGCTCTCTCTCTCACTCTCTCTCTCTCTCGCTCTCTCTGGCCCGCTCTCTCGCTCTCTCTCTCTCTCTCTCTGGCCCGCTCTCTCTCTCACTCTCTCTCTCGCTCTCTCTGGCCCGCTCTCTCGCTCTCTCTCGTTCTCTCTCTCACTCTCTCTCGCTCTCTCTCTCTCTCTCTCTCTCTCTCTCTGTCTCGTTCTCTCTCTCCCCCCTCTCTCTCCATTCGCTTTCTTATGCCAAACCCCGTAAACTTCACAGGGTCGCGAGATAGGTCTACTGATTTATATTGTGTTAGCTTTATTAGAATATGGATTAAACTCATTAACAGGGCCAATGGTTGACGATGCTAAGGCTGGAGCCTGTCGATAATCTTCACCACTGATTGCGTATACTCCTCCTGCTCAGCATTTGATAAATTAATTCATTAAAATGAGTAATTAGCATATACAAAATTGGCATTAAGCACATCCGGTTTAGGGATTTCCCCGGGAGCAAATGAAAAGCTATTTCATTCGTCAACGTCTCGCCCCTTCGAGAAGGCCCTCACCTTCACGTCGGCTTCGTCGACTTCGGATAGATCGTCGCCCTCGTCGCCATCGTCGCCATCTGCATCTACAAGTGGGGAACTTTTTGCGATTATCAGGGCATCACTCGAAGGGTACGGGTTTATGACCCCCCCCCCCCGGCCGACCCCCAGGTACCGTATCTCGGTTCCCTGTTCATCTACAGCTGTGTAAAGTATACCCTAATGTTTGTCTTGCTCTGGCGAGTATTTTAGTATACTTTACACACCCGTAGGGGAACAGAGAGCCGAGATACGGTACCTGGGGGTCGGGTGGGGGGGGGGGCTGGGGTAAACTGCACTCTAACCAAATTCGATATTATGAAAATTCGGAAAAATTATGATTTTGCAGGGGCATCCTTTCACGATGCCGCGCAGAGCGCCGCCGCCGGCCCCTACGTATGGGAGGATGCTGACTAGGTCGCAATCTCGAGCCATGGCGAGCCGTCAAGCCAGCCCCCCCACATCCATCAATACGGCAAAGAAGGCATCTCGCTCACCATCACCGGCCACGGCGCGCGTGCGTACACCCAATTTGCAATTGATGAACGACCACGTAGGGTTTTGCTGTTCTAGCCTGTTAGCGGGGGGGGGGCTGGGAGGTGGACGGCTGTGATTGCAGACTGCACAAATATACGTGTCTAAGTACGTGGAATTCGAAAACTACTAAAAACGCTAGAAATTTTCTCCAATAGTTGTAGAGGTTCTTTCGCATTATCGGGGGGGGGGGGGTGGAGCAAATTTTTTTCCCAGGAACCAATTTGTTAAATATAAATAGTGGAAGTGTTTCGGAACTTGTTTTTACTAATCGGAAACGTAAAAACTTACAATTTTTTATCCTATCCTTATCTATCCTATCTCTCCGCCCTCTATATGGTGTTATTTTACTAAAAACATCATGAAAATACTTTCTATTAAGTTACTAAACATTTCTAGATTGTCACAAAAAATTTTTGCTCCCCCCGATAATGCGAAAGAAGCGTTGTAGTCAATTGCTAAACGCCGAGCCACCCCCCGCTAACAACCTAGTACCGGCTTTCGTGAGTTGGGGAAGAGAACATGGTGGAGTTCAGATGCTCGATGAGATGCGGGAGCAGGACGATCCTCCCGAGGCCGACCCTCCGCCGGTCCTCGAATCGGCGCCAAGGATCGAGAGTGGGTTTTACGCGGCGTAACTTAAAGTCTTAGCTGAATCACTATTTGCTTCTCATCTTTAATTTCCGTTTCAGAAGAATACAAAGTCGCGTGGCCGGTGAAGCTCAACCTGGGTGAAGGGTTCGGTGGCCTGATCACCGCGGATCCGCCTCCCGACTCTTGGATTCAGGTCGGAACTGGGGTTCTTTTGCATTAGCAGGGGGAGGGCGGTAGGCGGTATGGGTGGGTACAACTTTCTCATTAGTATTCAAATTTTTGTAGCATAAATTGCGAAACTCCCTCTAAAGTCTATCTACTACGTTTTGCTATATTTTTACTATTTCTTGTAAATGTAACACATTTACAAAATTTTATTAGGAAGTCAAAAATCGCGATTTTTCGACCAAAAATCACCAAGAATTCCCGCTAAAAGCTGTTACATGTTTTTTTTGATTGTTAGTGTAATTAAGAAACGGCTTCATTTTGCTAAATTCTTCAATTCTATGTCGCCAACCATGTGTACATATCAATGTTTACAGAAGGGAGACACGCTGCGCTCAATCGAATCCGGAGCCAAGAATGGCCGAAATTGCCCACCATATTTATACGTCTTTGTGACCAGCCGAGTAGGTTTGATCCCCGTTTCTTTAGCCTTTTGGTCAAACTTGAGTCAAATGCATACTGAAATCTGTGTTTGCAGAACATCGGCCCAATCGAGGAACGGAAGATGAACACCTGGAACCTGGACGTGCTGATGTACGCCGTCAAGGGAGTCTGCCTCGGCTGTCCCTCCACCGAAATCCATCGGACCAGCGGGATGATCAGGATGTGCAGGCGTTGTTATGACGCCCTCAAGTAAGGATATTCCACTTTACTCAAAAAATTGTTTTCTAGAGACTGGACCGGACAGCGTCATCTGTGCTCCGACGACACGGCCACACCCATGCGACACGCCGACAACAAGAAGCAGATCTTGGCCGGTAGACTGCTAAATCGGTTCTTTCCCAATATCGGGGGGAGGAAGGGAAGCCAACACCTTTAAGGATCTAATTTTTCCAATTTTCCCGTTAACTTGTTGTTTTTGCACTTCCAATACAGTTAAAAATTGCTAAAAAGTTGGTTCTCCTTCTCACCCCCCCGATAATGCAGAAGAACCGCAAATACATTATCCTTTCCTAGAATTTCAAGGCGCTCGCTGCCTGCAATGCCTGGGAACGAGGGCCGCAGCCCTCGGATGGGACCCGGTAAGCGTTTTGACCTTAGCGACTTTTCTAGCTCGAACCAGTCAAACCCAAAATCAACATTAATGCTTACTTTTAGAAAAACCCGATGGTCCGCAAGCTCCTCCGCATCCACGCCCATCCGAGCCCCGATAACCCGATCTGATTGACGCCGGACTGCCCGCTTCTCGACTACTCGCAACAGCTTAAATGCACCAAATTATTCACTGATCCAAGTTGCGATGCCATTTTACAATTCTCTGAATAAACTTTCCCCATTAAACCAACTTGAATTGAACCAAAGAGCCACACACCGACAGCGAGGCAGTGAGAGTGAAAGGGCGGCAGAGAAAGTTAACGAAGTTCGAGGGGTTTGACCTTCGGACTCAATAGGGAGCGATAGAGCGGCAGAATGAGAGACAGAGAGAGTGAGTGAGAGAACCCCACGAAGTTCGGGGGTTTGAGCTTCGGAAATTATAGGGAGCGATAGAGCGGCAGAACGAGAGACAGAGAGAGTGAGTGAGAGAACCCCACGAAGTTCGGGGGTTTGAGCTTCGGAAATTATAGGGAGCGATAGAGCGGCAGAACAGAGACAGAGAGAGTGAGTGAGAGAACCCCACGAAGTTCGGGGGTTTGAGCTTCGGAAATTATAGGGAGCGATAGAGCGGCAGAACGAGAGACAGAGAGAGTGAGTGAGAGAACCCCACGAAGTTCGGGGGGTTTGAGCTTCGGACATTGGAGGCAGCGAAAAAGCGGCAGAACGAGAGACAGAGAGAGTGAGTGAGAGAACCCCACGAAATTCGGGGGGTTTGAGCTTCGGAAATTATAGGGAGCGATAGAGCGGCAGAACGAGAGACAGAGAGAGTGAGTGAGAGAACCCCACGAAGTTCGGGGGGTTTGAGCTTCGGAAATTATAGGGAGCGATAGAGCGGCAGAACGAGAGACAGAGAGAGTGAGTGAGAGAACCCCACGAAGTTCGGGGGTTTGAGCTTCGGAAATTATAGGGAGCGATAGAGCGGCAGAACGAGAGACAGAGAGAGTGAGTGAGAGAACCCCACGAAGTTCGGGGGTTTGAGCTTCGGAAATTATAGGGAGCGATAGAGCGGCAGAACGAGAGACAGAGAGTGAGTGAGAGAACCCCACGAAGTTCGGGGGTTTGAGCTTCGGACATTGGAGGCAGCAGAAAGGCTCTCTCTCTCTCTCTCTCTCTGTCTCTCGTTCTGCCGCTCTATCGCTCCCTATAATTTCCGAAGCTCAAACCCCCGAACTTCGTGGGGTTCTCTCACTCACTCTCTCTGTCTCTCGTTCTGCCGCTCTATCGCTGCCTCCAATGTCCGAAGCTCAAACCCCCGAACTTCGTGGGGTTCTCTCACTCACTCTCTCTGTCTCTCGTTCTGCCGCTCTATCGCTGCCTCCAATGTCCGAAGCTCAAACCCCCCGAACTTCGTGGGGTTCTCTCACTCACTCTCTCTGTCTCTCGTTCTGCCGCTCTATCGCTGCCTCCAATGTCCGAAGCTCAAACCCCCGAACTTCGTGGGGTTCTCTCACTCACTCTCTCTGTCTCTCGTTCTGCCGCTCTATCGCTGCCTCCAATGTCCGAAGCTCAAACCCCCGAACTGGGGGTTCTCTCACTCACTCTCTCTGTCTCTCGTTCTGCCGCTCTATCGCTCCCTATAATTTCCGAAGCTCAAACCCCCGAACTTCGTGGGGTTCTCTCACTCACTCTCTCTGTCTCTCGTTCTGCCGCTCTATCGCTCCCTATAATTTCCGAAGCTCAAACCCCCGAACTTCGTGGGGTTCTCTCACTCACTCTCTCTGTCTCTCGTTCTGCCGCTCTATCGCTCCTTATAATTTCCCGAAGCTCAAACCCCCGAACTACTTGGGGTCCTCTCACTCACTCTCTCTGTCTCTCATTCTGCCGCTCTATCGCTGCCTCCAATGTCCGAAGCTCAAACCCCCGAACTTCGTGGGGTTCTCTCACTCACTCTCTCTGTCTCTCGTTCTGCCGCTCTATCGCTGCCTCCAATGTCCGAAGCTCAAACCCCCGAACTTCGTGGGGTTCTCTCACTCACTCTCTCTGTCTCTCGTTCTGCCGCTCTATCGCTGCCTCCAATGTCCGAAGCTCAAACCCCCCGAACTTCGTGGGGTTCTCTCACTCACTCTCTCTGTCTCTCGTTCTGCCGCTCTATCGCTCCCTATAATTTCCGAAGCTCAAACCCCCCGAACTTCGTGGGGTTCTCTCACTCACTCTCTCTGTCTCTCGTTCTGCCGCTCTATCGCTCCCTATAATTTCCGAAGCTCAAACCCCCCGAACTTCGTGGGGTTCTCTCACTCACTCTCTCTGTCTCTCGTTCTGCCGCTCTATCGCTCCCTATAATTTCCGAAGCTCAAACCCCCGAACTTCGTGGGGTTCTCTCACTCACTCTCTCTGTCTCTCGTTCTGCCGCTCTATCGCTCCCTATAATTTCCGAAGCTCAAACCCCCCGAACTTCGTGGGGTTCTCTCACTCACTCTCTCTGTCTCTCGTTCTGCCGCTCTATCGCTGCCTCCAATGTCCGAAGCTCAAACCCCCGAACTTCGTGGGGTTCTCTCACTCACTCTCTCTGTCTCTCGTTCTGCCGCTCTATCGCTGCCTCCAATGTCCGAAGCTCAAACCCCCGAACTTCGTGGGGTTCTCTCACTCACTCTCTCTGTCTCTCGTTCTGCCGCTCTATCGCTGCCTCCAATGTCCGAAGCTCAAACCCCCGAACTTCGTGGGGTTCTCTCACTCACTCTCTCTCTGTCTCTCGTTCTGCCGCTCTATCGCTGCCTCCAATGTCCGAAGCTCAAACCCCCGAACTTCGTGGGGTTCTCTCACTCACTCTCTCTGTCTCTCGTTCTGCCGCTCTATCGCTCCCTATAATTTCCGAAGCTCAAACCCCCGAACTTCGTGGGGTTCTCTCACTCACTCTCTCTGTCTCTCGTTCTGCCGCTCTATCGCTCCCTATAATTTCCGAAGCTCAAACCCCCGAACTTCGTGGGGTTCTCTCACTCACTCTCTCTGTCTCTCGTTCTGCCGCTCTATCGCTCCTTATAATTTCCGAAGCTCAAACCCCCCGAACTTCGTGGGGTTCTCTCACTCACTCTCTCTGTCTCTCATTCTGCCGCTCTATCGCTGCCTCCAATGTCCGAAGCTCAAACCCCCCGAACTTCGTGGGGTTCTCTCACTCACTCTCTCTGTCTCTCGTTCTGCCGCTCTATCGCTGCCTCCAATGTCCGAAGCTCAAACCCCCCGAACTTCGTGGGGTTCTCTCACTCACTCTCTCTGTCTCTCGTTCTGCCGCTCTATCGCTGCCTCCAATGTCCGAAGCTCAAACCCCCCGAACTTCGTGGGGGTTCTCTCACTCACTCTCTCTGTCTCTCGTTCTGCCGCTCTATCGCTCCCTATAATTTCCGAAGCTCAAACCCCCGAACTTCGTGGGGTTCTCTCACTCACTCTCTGTCTCTCGTTCTGCCGCTCTATCGCTCCCTATAATTTCCGAAGCTCAAACCCCCCGAACTTCGTGGGGTTCTCTCACTCACTCTCTCTGTCTCTCGTTCTGCCGCTCTATCGCTCCCTATAATTTCCGAAGCTCAAACCCCCGAACTTCGTGGGGTTCTCTCACTCACTCTCTCTGTCTCTCGTTCTGCCGCTCTATCGCTCCCTATAATTTCCGAAGCTCAAACCCCCGAACTTCGTGGGGTTCTCTCACCCACTCTCTCTGTCTCTCGTTCTGCCGCTCTATCGCTGCCTCCAATGTCCGAAGCTCAAACCCCCGAACTTCGTGGGGTTCTCTCACTCACTCTCTCTGTCTCTCGTTCTGCCGCTCTATCGCTGCCTCCAATGTCCGAAGCTCAAACCCCCGAACTTCGTGGGGTTCTCTCACTCACTCTCTCTGTCTCTCGTTCTGCCGCTCGATCGCTGCCTCCAATGTCCGAAGCTCAAACCCCCGAACTTCGTGGGGTTCTCTCACTCACTCTCTCTGTCTCTCGTTCTGCCGCTCTATCGCTGCCTCCAATGTCCGAAGCTCAAACCCCCGAACTTCGTGGGGTTCTCTCACTCACTCTCTCTGTCTCTCGTTCTGCCGCTCTATCGCTCCCTATAATTTCCGAAGCTCAAACCCCCCGAACTTCGTGGGGTTCTCTCACTCACTCTCTCTGTCTCTCGTTCTGCCGCTCTATCGCTCCCTATAATTTCCGAAGCTCAAACCCCCGAACTTCGTGGGGTTCTCTCACTCACTCTCGTGTCTCTCGTTCTGCCGCTCTATCGCTGCCTCCAATGTCCGAAGCTCAAACCCCCGAACTTCGTGGGGTTCTCTCACTCACTCTCTCTGTCTCTCGTTCTGCCGCTCTATCGCTCCCTATAATTTCCGAAGCTCAAACCCCCGAACTTCGTGGGGTTCTCTCACTCACTCTCTCTGTCTCTCTTTCTGCCGCTCTATCGCTGCCTCCAATGTCCGAAGCTCAAACCCCCGAACTTCGTGGGGTTCTCTCACTCACTCTCTCTGTCTCTCGTTCTGCCGCTCTATCGCTGCCTCCAATGTCCGAAGCTCAAACCCCCGAACTTCGTGGGGTTCTCTCACTCACTCTCTCTGTCTCTCGTTCTGCCGCTCTATCGCTGCCTCCAATGTCCGAAGCTCAAACCCCCGAACTTCGTGGGGTTCTCTCACTCACTCTCTCTGTCTCTCGTTCTGCCGCTCTATCGCTGCCTCCAATGTCCGAAGCTCAAACCCCCGAACTTCGTGGGGTTCTCTCACTCACTCTCTCTGTCTCTCGTTCTGCCGCTCTATCGCTGCCTCCAATGTCCGAAGCTCAAACCCCCGAACTTCGTGGGGTTCTCTCACTCACTCTCTCTGTCTCTCGTTCTGCCGCTCTATCGCTGCCTCCAATGTCCGAAGCTCAAACCCCCGAACTTCGTGGGGTTCTCTCACTCACTCTCTCTGTCTCTCGTTCTGCCGCTCTATCGCTGCCTCCAATGTCCGAAGCTCAAACCCCCCGAACTTCGTGGGGTTCTCTCACTCACTCTCTCTGTCTCTCGTTCTGCCGCTCTATCGCTGCCTCCAATGTCCGAAGCTCAAACCCCCGAACTTCGTGGGGTTCTCTCACTCACTCTCTCTGTCTCTCGTTCTGCCGCTCTATCGCTGC